GTGTGTGTGTGTGTGTGTGTGTGTGTGTGTGTGTGTGTATATATATAATTAATATACTAACTTTATTTAAAATGGTAAAGTCACTGCATCAAAATATAAAACACTTTCCTGTTTGTATTAGATTCAGCCTTATTTGATGTTAACTGTCATTCGTGAGCTAGTGCGCTTCTGCTGTTGTTCATTTCCTAAAAGAGTGCTGAATAAATAGCGAGCCACTGCCAAACGGATCATGTGGCAGGTTCCCCTTTCTGGGGTTTGCCGAACAAAGGCGATAAGTCGCTAATCCAAATCAATGTAATACCTGCTGGCCCAGAGAGCTGCTGCCCGGTCACACACATCAGAGAGCTCCGGAGCTATTGAAGTTGTCTCGGCTCCCTCTCCAAGAAAAGCACAAACACAGGAGCTGATGAATATTGAATACATTTAATCCTTCCTCCCACTTTTCATTAGGATGTGGGTTTAGACTCACATTGCTGTAAATGAATACGAATAGTTCACTTAAAAATACAAAATTCTGTATATTTTGAAGAAAGTCCATTCTGTTCATATAATGAAAATGAATTGAAACTGTGACTGACAAGCTTCAGAGATGACAAAAAAGCACCTTAAAAGTAATTGACAACTTGTGTGCTATATCACGAGTCTACTGAAGTCATTTAATAGCTTTTTGTGAAGTGAGTATAAACAATGACACAATTTCCATTTTTGGATGAACTATCCCTTTAAAACCCTTTTTACAACTTTAAATAAAGTAATTGACAGCTTGTTGGTTTTTAGCTTGTTCCTGTTTAACACTTTTTTTTTGTTGTTGTTGTTTTGTTTTCTCACTTTCTCAGTACACAGTGTGGAACTTCCTGCCAAAGAACCTATTCGAGCAGTTTAGAAGAATTGCTAATTTTTACTTCCTCATCATATTCTTGGTGCAGGTAAGTGAGTGCATTTTATCAATCATAATCGTTTGCCATTCCCAGAGAGACAAACTGTGTGTGTGTGTGAGGATACAAGTGTGTTTATGTGTGACTCATAGCCTGGCTGGTTCTGCCCCGTGCTGATCTGATGTCATTGGACCTGTGATGATAATGGCAGAGTGAGACGGGGAAGCCTCTGCTCCGCTCCATAAAAGCACATGAAGGCAACCTTAGTTAAACTAGCGAGTGGAACCGTGTAAACAGCTGATGCCATTTAGACAAGTGTGTGTATTTAATAAAGGGTAATGGTGGATTGCTGAAGAGCATGTGGTCTTGTTGGTGTCAGGTACATGAGGAGTGAGAATTGAAAGGCACGATTTGACACCTGACTCGGCAGCGTTTTTTTTCTTTTTTTTTTTTTTAATGTGTGAGATTGAGGCTAATGATTTCTTTGGTTATGATTGTGTCCAAACCTGCAAATGCTGCAATCTCAGGCAGTATATGAGGTTAAGGCAGCATCAAGGCAATACTGTTCAAAGGTTTGGGCTGAGTATGAATTTTAATAGTTTTGAAAGAAGTCTCTTATGCTCACCAAGGCTACATCTATTTAATTTAACAATACAGTAAAATTAACTGTTTTATTAAAATTAACATCAGTTATTGCAATTAAAAATAACTGTTTTATATTTTAATATATTTCAAAATGTAATTTATTCCTGTGATGGCAAAGCTAAATTTTCAGCATCATTACTCCAGTCTTCAGTTTCACATGATCCTTCAGAAATCATTCTAATATGCTGATTTGCTGCTCAAAACTTTTTCTTATTATTATCAATGTTGAAAAAACAGTCGTGCTGCTTAATGTTTTTGTAAAATCCATGAAATATATTTTTAGGGTTCTTTGAGTAGAAAGTTCAAAAGAACAGCATTTATTTAAAATAGAAATCTTTTGTAACATTATAACGGTTTAATGTCACTTTGGATCAATTTAATGCATCTTTGCTAAATAAAAGTATTGTTTTCTTTCAAAAAAATTTTTACTGACCCCAAACTTGAATGTGATAAGATTGGACTATGCACTGCAAAATGCAACGTTTGACCATTTTTGCTCGCTGCCTATGCAAAAACAATCTGACAGTATAGGCTTATTCTCAAATGCGTGAACGTATAAGCCAGTTCTTGTGGGAAGATTTGCCTAACACCGCCCAAATGTTCATGCAAAGAAAGAAGGCGTAACTTTGCTTCTCGCTGTAGTATTGTAGTTGCCTCCACCGCCATGTTGTGGAGACGCTGTGTTTCGTTGTGAAAGTGAAAATACTTTGTTTGGCCTTCTAAAAGAGGACACAACTAGAAATCAGTGGTTAAGTTGTATTTACAACACTGTTCCAGAACAGTTCAACCCAAATATTCAGATGTGTGCAACGCATTTTATGGAGGACTTTTTCCTGAACCTGGGAGAGTAGCCTACAATGCCTGCTGTTCTGACTCACAGCCTGTAAATTAGGGCTGTGCGATTTGGGGGAAAATATCAAATTGCGATTTTTTTTTTTGACAGATATTGCGATTTGATTTGCGATTTTAAATTTGCAAAGTCAAGCTTCAGCTCAATATTGCCAATAATGTGCAGCACAGTATGGGTATCATTACCCTGCTGAAAAAAACAATAGAAACCATCACAGAAATTCTTATAGTTTCCATTAAACCATTACAAAATTCCTTTATGTTTTGGGCATTATTCCAATAGGAATTACTGTTGTTCTATTGATTGCCATCTGCCAGATTACATCCCACCAATAGAATCCATCAAATAGACACCATTATAGTTTACATTAAAACCAAACAAATTCCCATTATAACCCTGAAATCCATTAAATATTTTGTGTTTTGGGAGGGGTTCTGTTGTTTTTTTTTCTTCAGCAGGCAAGATTATATTGGCATAACTACTTTTAAAGAATTAACTTAATTACTGAATTTCACAGAAAATATTTTATTTATTTAATAGTTTATTTTTTATAAATAAAGAACTGTATTTCTTAAGTCAATTATTAAAGTATTACATATGTTACATAGGCTGATTTATTCATTTTAAGTATTTGGGATTTTAAGAGCAAGTGGAAAATGTTTCATTTCATCCAAGTGAAATTAGCAAGCAGTTAGACTGAATTTACATTCGT